GCGGTACAGCAAGATGTCCAGTTCATATCCTGGAGGGATATCATTAAACTACTTTAAAATCACAGTTGATTGCTTCAAGAAAAGTCACCAGGTCATTATGTGATGCTACTCTTTACAGCATTTAGAGCCTAACCACCGCCAATGGAGAAAGAGGACAGATCCTTTACATGACTGTAGGGAAAAAGCAAAAAAAAAAAGTACATGTGCTAAAATGTTTTGAAAAAGGAAGATGAGGGAGATAGGATGGTAAAGGGAGATATGATATGGGAGACAATCCTGGAGTTAGGCTTTAATGAAAAATCAGGCCTGCAACAGACAGCCGATATTAATATCAACAAACTGTGACTATATACTTTACAAAAGTAATAATATCGTTTAACCTCGGGTGTCTGGACTCCCAGACGAAGTAAACACTTAGCTGTCCCTGTACAGATCAATCAGATGGAAAAGTCACTTCTGCTTCATTTAGGTAAACGTATACAGATGGTTTTCCAGTATAGTGGCAGCTTATCACAGGCCTGTTTTTTCATTAAATGTGCAATCAACTTTCCAGCTTATATTCCTGCACTTGGTCCTTACACTTTGTTAGTACTTTCAAATTATTTTTCAGTAGCAGCACTAGATATTTTCCTGGTGCCCATACTTGCTGACAGCCCCATGAAGTAGATGCATGCTTGCTTTGTGTCCTACCCACCTCCCCCCGAGCTTCTGCTTCCCCTTCACCTGTCCCTTCATGCTAACAGCAGGCAATTTTACTTCTCTTGCTTTACTATGCCATAGAGGATATGCCCTGTCACTGCTGCACCATGGAAGAAGATGGAATCCAGCAACACAAGACTGTACAAGACACTTACATTACCTACATCCTGTGGAGGCCCAGCCCAGGAGGAGAGGTAAGTCCACACAGGCACAGCAGTGAACCATGTACAAGTAAAGACCAACTGGTTTGCGTTAATATGACAGGGCAGATAGTTACATAGATAGTCAGGTTTTAAAAAGACATTAGCTCATTGAGTTCATATAATGAATATTGATTATCAATAATGATGTCTTCTAGAATTAATGTCTGCAGATGAATGTTTGGAGCGGTGATTTTAATAAGGCCGCACCAGCCAAAGTGCCCTTATATCCAGGGCCGTCTTTAACGCAGGGCAAAAGGGGCAGTCGCCCAGGGCCCAATCATTGTTGTGGGCCCAAAGCAGCTGCCCCTTCAGCCCACATAAGCAGTGGCGGAACTACCGCCGGTGCGGGCGCACCAGGGCCTCGGGCCTCTAGGGGGCCCAGCACAGTCCCAGCGCCGGATCGGTACCCAGCGGCCAGCAGGCCCCCCATCTCTGAGGGTCCAATCAGTATTAAAGACGGCCCTGCTTATATCGGTGCAGGTACCTCCGCATGCGTGAACACTGGCTCATAGTTCTGAGCACAGAATCATGGCTGACCATGCGTCGCTATGCAAGGCTAAGTGTGCTCCCCCTATGATCATTGCTGCAGATTGGCTAGTTAAACTGAGCTCTGCCATTTCTCAGTACTGCATGATCTTCAGCTATTTACCCTTAAGCTAAGATCTTGAAACTGCCTGACTTCTGTTAATGACCTGGCTTCTGTTTGACCTGAATTTTCTCTACATCCATTTACTGCTGCTGATTCTGTACCTTGCTCCCAGCTAACTACTAACCCCAGCCTCTTACCAGCTTTAAAATTGGTTTTGATTTGGTACCCTGCTGCTTGCATGTTGATGATTCCAGCTTGTAACCTGAGTCTGCCTGCATCGCAAACTTGCATGTCTTTGTGTTGATACTGGCTGTATACCGTATGTGCATACTGCTTTCAAGCACTTTCAAGTACCAGTCTCCAGACTTTATGCCTAACCACTCATGCCCCTCCTTCACTTATAATTCCTTGCCCAACTCTCCAGATGTGTTTGAGCTGGAGTTGAAGCTTCCCATGTCATCTTGGACTCCTTATAGAGGTAGATGACAAGTGAGGTGGTAGACCATTTTTTGTATGTGTTTAAGCAGTTGTATAAGCATTGAATTGTGTGTGTTTTATATACCACATCTATTTTGTACTGGTTTATTTTATAGACTTTGTGCCATGCACTGCTACAACTCTGGTACAATTTTATCACCTATAAACCCTTAAACAAGGGTAAAATAAAAGCTTAGTTTAATTGATGACTTTGAGTCAACTAATACTATAAATCATTTGGACCACTTTCCATTGTCACTCAACTGAGCAAATTTATATTACATTATTTCCACATTTTTAATATACTTCTACTGAATGTATTATGTATCCTCCTATGCACATGTGAAAACAAATTGTGTATTACTTTGTTTTATGTATGGTTGGCACATATTATAAAAAGCATTGTGAATATTGTTTTTAAATTTTCAAACATGAGTAACGTAACGTGCAGTGTATGGGCACCTTTATTCCTTCAATGGCCCAAACCCTACAGCTCCTCCCTTGCATCAGAAGAGACACAACTGACATCTTCACTAATCAACATTATTCCCTCATTGGCCAAAACACTGCAGATCCCTCCTTGCTGATGCCCCCCTTGAATCACAGGGGCATAACTGACAACCTCGCTTAAGGATGTTATTCCCTTGCTGGTCAAAACACTTTAGTTCCCACCAACAGGTCTTGTATTAGACATGCATGAAAGAACACAGGTGTAACATTTAGTAACATTTTAACAGAAATGCACTAATTATTCAAGCTGCGATTTTGTAAAAAGGTTATTGACCATAAAGGATCAGAGTTGCTAAGAAAGTGTGTAGTGCACATTACAATTTAATAACTGTAATTTCTTAAATGGGTCTTGATGGGACAGATAATGGCCTATGAGTGGCTTACAGCGGATATTTTTCCACACCAGACATTAGCTGGCAGTTGAATTATGAAATAATCTAACTGCTAAAGCAGTGATTCTCAACTTGTGTAAAATCAGGACCCACATTTGTCCTTGGTCATTAAGTCACGACCCAAGTCGCACTGCAATGGAACGCACAGCATTAGGGTACCGCGCATTCCGGTGCGGGCATACGAACTGCGGGTGGGAGGTGCATTTGGGGTACCATTCAAATGAATGGCAATACAACACTTGCTCCCACACCAGAACGCGCGGTAGGTGTGCATGGTACAGTGCGTTAATCACACGGTACTATGCAATTAACGCACTGTACTAGTGTGAACGAGTCCTCAAAAACACTGACAGACACACACAACAACAGACATTCTCATACACACATATACACTCCAAAAACCGTTTTTATTTTTTTTAAGATCCACCCTGTCTCTCTACCTTACAAGAACTGGAGTGGATCCTCAGCCTGGGATCCATTGTGGGCTGCTGTGCTGTGACGAAGCTCCATCCATATGTGCATTCCTTGTACAACCCCCTTGCGCGCCCTTAGGAGATACCAGGAGCCAGAACGGGACGTCACTCTGGTCCAGGCACCTCTGTAGGGCATGCAAGGAAGCTGTAAGCAATGTATGTATGGATGGAGCTCTCTCGCGGCCATAGCTCCAGCCCACCCCACTTTAAACTGACACTCGGCACCGAGCAGCATATGAATGGCTGTTAGCCCGAGAACTGACAGTGCTGCGCTGGGGGGAGGCTGAGAAGTCTCTCACCTAGAAAAGTGGAAGGCACATGGCGACCCACTTTTGGGTCACAACCCACCAGTTGAGAACCAAGATGCTAAAGGATTTAATACCCCAACAATGATTAAACACCATGCATGTTTGCATCCAAAAGTTTATCATCTCATTCTGCATGATTGCCAAACAGCCTTCATTCACACCTGAGTACAGTGTATTTATGGCAATGTTTTTTGCAACTGTATCGAGCTTCAGGCATTTTTGTTTTGGACAATGGAAAGCACTTCTAGAGGAGGAGCACCGTTCTTCTGACGCGAAAATGTCCCAGTTTACAGAAACTCCCTTTGAAGACTATGAGGCCAAAAGCAGTTGGTAACACAAAAAAAAAAAAGCTTATGTGCAGAATTAGAAACAATGGGATTTTGCATGTTGTGCTTAGTCAACGCTGAGGTGTGAGGTATGTCCATATGTTTATATCACCCAGTCAGCCAACAATCATTGCTGTACATGTTTGGTTTGACCAATTTATCAATCTAGTTGGTCTAGCTGGCTTTTTTCTTTGCTTTTTCAGCATTTCGGCTACATTCACACTAGGTGCGATTAGATATGTCTATATGCATTTAAAAAGCTTTTTTAAACACACATATATGCAGCTAATGATTTCCAGTGGATCTATTCACACATTGCTTTTAGATGCTTTTACCTGTATATGATGTTTTTCTCTAGGAGTTCCTATAAAAAAAACATATACTCGCCCAATCCGCGACCACACTTTGCTGCTAGACCGGTCCCCACAACCTCTTCTCTTCTGGTCTAACCCCACTGACGTCATCACGTCTAATACAGCCCATTCACCTATATTGGATGTGAGGACGCAGAGGGAGAAAGAGGTGAGTGCTGGATCAGGTGAGTATACAGTATTATTTTAACCCCTAGAGAAAAATGAGCAGTTAACCCTTGCAGTGTGGGGGTAGCCCCACTACAAGGGTTAACTTTTTACAGACCAGGAGTTCTTTAATTTGATTTAAAGTAAACATATCATGAAGCAAGCATGGGTCTGCTAATGTTGACCTGCTCCTCAACATGCTAGTTGACCCAGACAATTAGGATTTTCAGTTGTAGATTTTAGCAATGGACTCTTCATGTTTCCCTTATGACAGGTGTACTTTAACCATTATATCAGACCATCCCATTTTCTCAGGCAATGCTTGTATCTGATGACTACATATACTGTAGCTGAATATGTAGCTGACGTTTGAGATCAGTTAGTTATTCAGCTGAAGTGTCAATCACACAAGTAACTCAACTATAAAGTAATCGTGTCTGTGTAATAAATGCCAATGTATGCTTGTTCACCAAATGAACGTTTTCTACACAACATCACTGCATTGTCATTTTGGTATTCTGAGTTTTATTCGAATTGTATCAGTGCTGTACAGAGACAGCGAATGCCTGTTATATTTTTCCAGACAGTGCCAAATTGCTCAGTCATGTAAGGCACACCAAGGTCATGGGAGTCTCCGGTCTCCTGATTGGCCCCAATAGGATAGCTGTAGTTTCACAGATTGAAATCCCCTACGTGCATGGGCCAGCAATGCATCACGCCACCTATGACCGCTACCCCCTCAAGCGACTAAGGAATTAACATCCCAAGTCAGGGAAAGGCATTTGTAGATGTGAGACAATTATTAACACTTCCCCTGCCAGAGAGAATCATTAGGCAGATTCCAGCCAGAGCACTGCCCTGCAGCCACCCTTGTGCTGAAGCCATATAAAAGCTGTCCGTCCATTTTAAGAAATAAATTATGCAATGAGGAGGTTTCAGAAGCAGATTCAAGGTAGTGACTGTTTCACTCATTCAGATTTTGCGTCCAGTTTTTCTTCTTCCTCCAAATCCATCTCAGTGATGACAGAGAAGCATAAAATCTGAGTATAGCGAGTGATACCGGCTACAGAGAAAAACACAAACCAAACATAAAAGACAAAGTAAGTGCACTGATTTGTATTCTGCTCTCAAAGGTAACAGTAGGAAGTAGATGGTGCTCATACCTGCTACACGCCTCAGGAAGTTTGGTTTCTTCTGTTCGGGCACCCGTACAATAAGAAAATAGACTGGAACTCCAGAGAGAGCAATGGCTACTCCAATCAGAGAATTAACCAGATCACTATACAGCGGAACGGCCACCAGGAATATAGTGCAAAGACAAAATATCACTGGGAATACCAGACTGAGCTAAAAGAGATGAAAACAACCAACAAACAATAATGTCAGCTATTGTCCAAGACAGATGTGAAAAAAAGCTAAGACTAGCTAAGTTAAAGCTGAACTCCAGGAACAATGTTTTATGGATACTTATATTGGTCCATCTTAGCTTAATGTAAGTATTCATATCTGATATTCAGAGGGCCACTGGGGAAGCTAAAAATCACTATAGTAGCCCTCACTACATACAGTGATAGCAATGATCATCTTGCTGTGGCTCCAGCAGCTTCCCCTCTCCACTCTGAGCACATGGAGTCTCTTGGTCAGCATTGCCACCATTCAAAAAATGCCTTGTATTTGTTTCAAACAATACAAGGCTTTCTCTGATTGGACAAGGTGGAGATCATGGTGCTCCGCCCCTTTTCTCCACCTTGTCCAATCACAGAACCCATTGTATTCAAGGCATTTTGTCAATGGCAGAAGTGCTGAGCGAGCGACTTCCTGTGTTTAGCGTGCAGAGGGGAAGCCGCTGGAGCCGCAGCCAGATGATCATGACTATCACCGTATGTATCGCAGACAATTACAATGATTTTCAGCATCCCCAGAGGCACTCCAGTGTGATAGATAACATATGGATATTTACATTGAGCCAAGCTGGACCAATGAAGGTATCCATAAAACATCATTCCTGGAGTTCAGCCTTAAAGTTATCTGAGTTAAAACTTTACTCAAGTTTTTATCTCTCGGTGACCTCATTTGTTGTCCTCTCATCGGGACAGGAAAAACATTGACAGAAGCTCTAACCCTTCCTCATTCTGCTACAAAATGTTTTTTTTATCTGTGTGCCCATTTAGAAATTTTCCATCATTTCCTGTCCAGTTCTCCATATGGATAGGGACTGGGAGGAACAGTCTGAATGAGCTTGAGCATTGCACCTGCGATTCACTACTCATGGTTGCAATATTTTGTAGGTTCTAATGCAAAAAAACAACGATTGCACTTTTTGTCTTTTGCATGTGTGAATTTTCAGGGGGAAAAGCTGGACTATGCCTTTAACCTGTATCAGACAATCAGATTCTATGCAGTTACCTACCACAAGTGGTAAAGAAAAACCTGAACAGCTGTCAATTATCGCAGGTCAGGTGCTATGTTTCCTTTTTCAGGAACAGGAAAAAATAAAAGGTGAAATCTCAATTCTCTACCAATTGTCTTTTTAATTTGCAGCGCCACTGTTTTAGTTTTGATGTAGCAATCCCTTACAGCAGGTTGACATTAGAAATAAGGCAGAGGAAAGCAAAGAAGACAAAGCATTAGAACCACAAGATGGAAGAAAGGTTTGAGGCAGTGAAGGTGCAATGAGCACAGAGGACACCAAAGAATCAAAACAACATTCATATTAGTGCTATGTAAAATAATAACCTTGAGTGGCCGAGGTCTGTCTGGCTCCTTCCAACGCAAATACAGTTGTCCTGCAATAGACAGACCCACAAACAACCAATAGCTGAAGCTGTAATAATTGATGAGCTGGAAGATGTCCTCAACACACAGGTACACCAATGCCATGGCTCCCTGTAGACAGACCATTGTTAGAATGAGTAGCAATACAAATCACTCTAGCCTTTTTCTACTTACAGGTTGCATTTTCCCTAAACGGACTCTGTCAGCTTAACAATAAGGAAAGCTACTGACAGGTATTAGGTGTGTGCCGGCCCGGTACCCAGAGATATCTGCTCACAGTTGCAGCAGCTTTTATTGTTCCTCTGCTTTCCTCTGCCAAATTCTGGGTAGGTCTGATTGGGAAAAGCTCTAAAACTTCCAGGTAGTTTCGGAGCCTCTGCTTAGACCTATCTCCACACACCTATCACTACTAGACAAAAAGGTAGGCCATACATAGTGGTAGTCCATGTGTTATAAATTGTTTTACCAGCCAAATGATTTGCAGTCCTACACCACACTGCACAGCCAGTTAGGAGACACCTATATGTCCTGTTTGAGCTCTGAAGCTTGACATGTCCCTCTTTGTCTCAGCCTGCTCATTGGGCTCCGAATTAACTTAATCTCCACAGTACAAGGAACAGGAAGCTGACCCAGAAAACAGTCATCTTCCTGTTTGGACCATGTAGCAAGGGTGTAAAATGCAAGACTGGCTGAACAGAACCTTGGAAGATGAAGATCACCAGCATTCAACCAAAAGTATTAAGTATGTTTGCTTTTTATTGCAGTAACATGTCACAAGCATCATTCAGCCAATGTTTTAGGGGCCATGCTGGGTCCCTTCTTCAAGGCGTCACTATGTCACCCTCAAGAAGAGACCCTGTGTGGCCCCGATATGTTGGCAAAATGACTCTTGTGACATGTTACATCAATAAAAAGCAAAATACTTCATGCTTTTGGTTGAGTGCTAGAGATCTTCATCTTCCATGATCCTGGAAACCACAGGGCCATCCATGTTATCACTGCGAGTGCCACAACATTTTAACAATTAAACAAGGTCTAAACGCTGTATGGAGTGCAGGTGACCTATCACGATATTGCATGGCTGAACAGAACAACATAATGTATATGAATTACAATTATCAGGGTTATTCACAAAAGGGGGAAGAGTTTGGAGAAGGCAGGAGAAGTTAACAATCTAGGACAACATAGCTGATTTGGAAAAATTATCCAATTCAGATCACTTTCCAGTTCAGCTATGTTGTCATTTCTCCTGCCTTCTCCAAACTCTTCACCCTTTTGTGAATAACCCTGTATATATTCAGTTGTTTGTCTTGAGTTCCACTTTAAAAATATATATATATATTATTTTCAAATGCAACTGATCTGATTGATGTATAAAAAAAAATGCTCCTATGCTTATTGTGTAATTATGTTTAAGTTGCAAATGTGGCTTTTATTGTGCATATACTTAAACAGTAGTTAATCTTAACAGTGGCCAATGTAGTTAGAACAATCAGGAAATGATGCAGCAGCACAGAAGTAAAAATGCATTGTACCAATACAATTTTAGGTTTGCAATATTAGCTCAACTACACTAAAATTTTCCTTTAAAATAGAGCTGCAGCTAACGATTATTTTCATAATCGATTAGTTAGCCGATTATTAAGTTTGATTAATCGGTTAATCGGATAAAACATAAAATAAATTTTAAAAAATGGCTCCAGTGATGGGACTTACTAGTTTGTATTGAGATTGCAGTCCATCACAGGAGCAAGCTTGGAGCAGTGGAAGTAAAAAAGAAAAAAAAAAAGTGTGTGTAAAATTGTACAGCAATGAATGCAGAATACCATCAGCTATAGAGAACTACAAAACCCAGCAATAGTACATTATAGCTGGCGGTATTCTGCATTGCGCTGTATAATGTACTATTGCTGGGTTTTGTAGTCCTCTATAGCTGGCGGTATTCTGCATTGCGCTGTATAATGTACTATTGCTGGGTTTTACTCCCCGCGTCCCTGTGTCGATCGTGGATGTGGGCGGGCGGTGAGCGTGAGGAGGTGCAGCATGTCAATGCGGGCAGGTCTGGCAGCAGCGAGCGTGAGGTGGGGAGGAAGTGTGGCGCGCAGCGTGGAGCCGTGAACAGGGCCAACCAATCGGAAGCCGATTAATCGATGATTGAAAAAGTTGACAACTTTTTCAATAATCGATTATAATCGATTATGTCGATTAGTTGTTGCAGCCCTACTTTAAAACCAAACTAATTTCGTTAGTAAATCTAAAGCCAACATTTTTTTCAGTCTTGGAAAGAGTAGAAAGGGATTCAAACACCTGTCAGAATTTTTTTTGCCTTCTGGGGCCCTGCTAGGGAGATTTACCCTCTCTATTTTCCTGGCGACCCTTGTCACTGAGAGTGAAAATGTGGGCAAATGCTAAATTTTGAGTTAACACCAGCAGAGGGGAAAAAAAAGAATAATCTTCCAATGGGGCACTAGTTCTTGTGACAGCTGTCTAAGAGGGGATTTCCTTCACTTTGGAGAGATTGTCTCTCCACTTCCTGTGTCTATGGGGCAGGAAGTGATGGGAAATTTCCCCCAATGGAATGGCAAACTGAAAAGTTTTCTAATACTTCCCTACTCCATCTGAAATTAATGGCTTTACTTCTGCTTTAAAGGACAATTCCGGGTAAAAATGTTATTAACCCTTGCAGTGGGGTTTCCCCCCACACTGCAAGGGTTAAGTGCTCGTTTTTGCCTAGGGTCAAGAATAACAGAGTTATACTTACCTGATCTTCCAAGCCAGTCAGCAGTGACAGAGCTCCCTCCAGCCTCTCTCCATCTCCAGTGCAGTGATGGTATGTCCCTCGGTGTCCTCATCTATACATTGTGTACCTCCTCATGTATCACTTCCCCCTCCCTTTTAGATTGTAAGCCCTCACGGGCAGCCCCCTTCTTACCATCTTGTCTTGAATTGTATTGTGATTGTAATGTCTTCCTTATATTGTAAAGCGATGTGCAAACTATTGGCGCTATATAAATCCTGTATAGTAATAATAATATACAACATGATGACTCAGGGACCTTAGACCACTGGATTGGAGGGGGTAGCGAAGCAGAAGGGACTGGTATAAAAGCAAGCCATCTGGAAGGATCAGTTGAATATAACTTTTTTTATTTTTGACCCTAGGAAAAAACAAGCACTTAACCCTTGCAGTGCGGGGGTAGCCCCACTGCAAGGGTTAATGACATTTTTACCCAGAGATCTGCTTTAAGCTATTCAGAACTTCTAGTTTAGGATTACGCCAGCAAATTCCCAGTCACACTTCCTCCAGCTGTCATCTCCATATATATCACTACTTCCTTTTTCATTGTCTCTGACGAAATCTTTCAAAATATCTTATTCATTAATCAGCACGTTCCCAAACCACTGGTTTACCTCTTATGCTGAGGCTGTTGTTGATTTCAAAACGACATGTATGCATGTTTGTGTTAATGTAGTGACCAAGAGACTAAGACTGGACATACACTGTTAGAATTTTGGCTGATTCCCAGGATTAGTCAAAATTCTTATACAGGATAAGTCGATTAGTCAATCGTCTGTGAGAGTCAGAGGTTTTTTGAAGGAGCTGGGGCAAAAAGTTTTCAGCTGAGCAGCAACTACAGCCAATCAGCTGCAGTCACTGTTTGGGTATTCTGACAGTGGCGGGTGCTGGCTGTCAGAATATAACAGCCTGGCAGAGGAGATTCGTCCATCCACACTGTTTAGCAGGGATGGAGGAGTCTGTTACATATTTTTCATATTTAGTGTATGTCCAGCTTAAGTGGCATAGAGAGCACTCACGTTAAACAACAGAGCAGGGATAGGCGTGAATCGCTCTACGTGGATCATACTAAGAGCATCAGGAAGGTGTCCTTCTCGGGATCCAACAAAAAAGAGCCTGAAACATAAGACAAATTAAATTGTAGCTAACATAAAAGACAAAATATAATGTAATGAATTCTCAGGCTTTTTTCCTTTATTTTCACTTGGTCATCCTGCCAGTAACACACTTCCTGTCCTAGGGTGACAACACTCATTCACTATTTCTATAGAGAAGAAGCGCTGTCACGGTAGGAAGGAAGCATGCTGACACCCCCTCTCCTTACAGGACACCTTCCCCTACAGGCGTTCTGTAATCCACAAAGGTGAACTAGGCAGAGCTAATAACAATACCTGAGATAACACTAAAGAGAGGACAAGACACGGGACAGTGCAGAATTTCTGGCAGGATCAACAGGTATTTATTTGCACATAAAAAACACTATTAATTGTATATTTAACAAGAAATGGGAGAAGTTAATTGTTTACATGCCCCTATAAGGAGACTATAACTACCTGCATTCTGTTCCCTACTGATGACGGGATCATTCCATCACGATCGTTCAGTTCATTAACGACTGGTGACGGAACTATCCTGTCATGTGGTACAATGAGTGCTGGTCCATGGAGGAACCAGTGCTCATTGAGTTACTGCTGTTACTGGGTCCCTTGGGGCTTGAGGCAGACCCTCAACAGCAGATTAGGTGGTCCCAGCCCTGTGAGCACTACGATAGCTGATCGCAGTGATCACAGCTCTGTGACAGCCACTGAGCTGGCTTGCAGCTCACTGTGTTGTGGAGCTACGAGTCGGTTAAGTGTGTAACAAACTGATACAAAGTATCTCTGAGGAGAATGCTGTATTCTCCTCAGAGATACTAAGTATCAAAGCCCCTGTAAATAAAAAAATATACCCCTTAGTGCCCCCTAGTTTAAAAAATAAATAAGAATTTACATATGCATATGTCACATCCAATTAAAGCCATTCTGTCCTTTAAAAAACTATATGTAACATGTGTAGGTGCAATGAATGAGGAAGGTGGAAATGATGGTTAAATTATGGGTAAACAAATACATAGCAAAAATGGCAAAATTGCTCTGCTCCACAGTAACGAAAATATTTTCTGAAGCTGTGTCACTAAGGGGTTAAACGTGTAAAGCCGACTTTCGACTCTACACTGGAAGTGATTCACCGGGCTGGAAAACATGCGGCCGCCTGACCCTCCTGCCCCTTTCTTTTTGGGCTCCGCTGCCCCTCCTGCGGGCCTGAAACCAGAGAGAGACCAGCGAACACCCGTTTCCTGGCCTCCTCCCTGCTGAATGAACCCGGAACCGATGATGATTTAGTTACTTCTGGTTTCTCAGCTGTCGTTTCCTGGCCAGGGAGGCTGAGAAAGAAGCTGAGCTGTGCACGAGCTTTGTTTGATCAGCTTCAATGAGCTGCAATGGTGACATTAGGGGTCTAATTAAAAAGGACCTGCCACTTCTACTGTGCTTGTGAATCCTCTATGGGATAGCAATAAAGTTAATTAACCTCCCTGGCGGTATGATTATTCAGGATTTTAGGAGGTTAAAAGAAAATAAAAAAATAAAGTTAAATAAAATGAATGTAAAAAGTTTTTAAAGTCCCCCACCTCTTTGCACATACTAATGCAAATGCATATCAGGAGTGTCTGCGTACAAAAATTACAACTGCAACACCCATGTTAGGTATTGCCATGCACGTCAGAGTGTGAGCAATAATTCTCGGGCCAATATCCATAGTTAGTTCTAAACTGATGACCTGTAAAATCTTTTAAATCGTCACCTATAGGCAATTTTGTGTGCACACAATTTCGAATCGTGAATATATTTGGTATCTGTTTACTGGCATAACTTTTATATTTTACCAAACTATTGGGTATTATATTGTGTTTCTGTGCACTAAAATTAACTTAAGTGTGTTTTTTACAGAAAATCGGGGCTTCATAAACAGTTGCGCTAATATCATGCAGCATCAAAATTTGTAATTGCAATTAATTCAACAGGGTCTCTGCTTTCATGAAATATATAATTCTGGGGGGTTTTAAGTAAACTTTAGGCCTAAAATGTGCATTTTTTTCCCAAAACACTTTTCATTGAGGAACAGGAACAATAACCATCATAAAAAAAAGTATATACAAAATAGAAACACAACAACACAACACAATAAAAGAAATGGAACACAGTGTAAAAACAGGCAGTTTTGAAAAGAAAAAGGGACCTATGAATTGGGAAGCTTGTGAATGGTCCTGTGCATAGTGTTTTGCAGGGCTGATCTGTAAGGTGTGTTTTCAGGTACAAGTAATGAGCACACTGAATAGATGACAGCAGATGATTAAAGAATGAGAACCCGTGTTTGTGTACTAATTACACAGACAGTTCTGTTACCTGGAAGCAGCAAGAATGGAAGCGTTCAGACCTCCGAAGCATGACAGAGCCACGGCAAGTGGGATCGTCCAGTTAAATATTCCAAATATCTGATCAGCGAATGTCTGGGAAAAGAGGGATCCAGGACCACATTGACTAAACGATGTGAAGACACAGAATCTCTGTCACTGACAAAACTGTTTGTAGCAAACTCACATTTTTTCTTTTAAGTTTTATTGTTTTCTATCAATAACAACACAGCTGCTTTATCTCTAATCAGGAACAAAAACGGACACTTTAAGGGCCCATTCACACCATCTCCATGTGTTAATTACACGGTTCTGTGTGATTAACATATGGTACCCCACAACGCACCTCATGTGTGATTTCAGTGCATGCGTTGTGCGGTACCGTGTATTAATCGCACAGAACCATGTGATTAACGCACGGAGATAGTGTGAACGGGCCCTCAGTACTCATTCGCACTACGTGGGGAAATTAATAAAGATGTCTGAGACAAGACAACAGGTGCGTTTGCTAATAGGAACCTAACTTTAAGGCTTAAAGCTGATTGTCTTCAATCGAGTTTAAAAAAGTTTTTCTCCGAAAACCAACAATACATGTTCTATATGAAGACAAAATACTGACTTGTAAATTTAAACTCAACCACAGGCTAACATTTTAGGAGGTAAGAATATAAAGTGAAATTACCACTGCCACAGCATCACTTCCCAGAATGGAGCGCATGTCCAGCACCGTGTAATAGGCCACATTGGTCAGCAGGTAAATCACAGTCACAATTGGCATAGAGATTCCAATGGCCAAGGGTAAGTTTCTGCAGAGAACATAAAAGAAGAATATAAGGTAGGAAAGGCTATCTTGTGTTTCTCCTTTTTTACCAACCCTATCTCTAAATTCTTTTTGTCCTGTTAACTGAGCTCTCCTTTCTTTCTTGTGTAATTAAACACTCTTAAAAACTTCACCAACAACTAGGGCTGGGCACACACCTTACAACCACAAAAGTTTTGCGATGGTTGTAATGTCATTAAAAAAAACATACGATCTGCCTATCTTGGACAGGCAGATCGTACTTGCGATGATGACCGCAATGCTGAACGGGCAGTGTGCGCTTGCACACTGCCCGTTCATAAAGGGTGGGAAAAACGTCATTTTCAGCCTGACAAATTCTGCTGCGGGAGGTGCGTTGCAGTGCCATTCACTTCAATGGCATCCCAAACGTGACTCCCACCCACAGTGTGATCTCCCTCACTGGAACACACGGTACCGCAATGCTGTGCTTTCCAGTGCAGTGTGATTGCAAACATTTGTGCATGCAGTTTTATTCTGAAATAAACCTTATGTTTGTAACATTCTATTTGTGTATTTTATTTTAAGTTAAGGATGGTATTTCATTTTTTTATCTTATTATTCAAAAAATAATCGGCCACCTAATCAATTATGAAAATAATCATTAGTTGCAGCCATACTATCAACTGCAGCTATGTTGCCAGTTGGCAATTTCTAGTTAACACTTTTTAGAGCAGGGGTAGGCAACCTCAGCACTCAATCTATGGAGAGACTACAAATCCAATCATGCCTTTGCCTGTGGGAGTCATGTCTGTGGCTGTCAGAATCTTGCAATGCCTCATGGGACTTGTAGTTCTACAACAGCAAGTGTGTTCAGGCTGTCTACCCCTGCTTTAGAATGTCAAAGCAGGTATAAGCAATACATTTTTTATCACAATTCAAAAAGTCGTGTTTTTTATGTAGTGCATCCTCACTGCTTGTCAGGAATTTTGGTTTTGTCTACATATACCCTAAAAGTCACCATCCTGTTTTAATAATCAACCAGTATAGACACCTTTAACATGGCTATACACATGCAAAGTAATCTGATTGTACAATTTCTATGTAAGCTCCTAAACGGTTCATTCAATTTAGAACCAATCACATAGACACTACACAGTTGTTGGTAGATCTAACGGAGATTGTATAATCAATCATAGTGTAAGGTGCAGTGGCGGAACAAGCGGCCAAGATATACAGCTGTCACTGTCACAGAGTTAACTGCGGTTCAGTGTAAAAAACGGCACACTACACGTCATATGCCGGTTTCTAACACTGAACCACAGTAAACTCTGTGACAGCTGTGGACACATAGGCGGTGAGAGAGGAAAGGGGTGGCACAGTAGCAGTGGAAGTGCCAGATGGGGGGGGGGCTTATTTTCTGGCAGTGCCCCTCCCGAGACTAGACTCTGGATCCGCCCCTGGTAAGGTGTTTGATCAGCTTTATGATGAAAAAATGTATAACTTCCATCTAAAAATACCAATGGATATGTGTGTGAAAATGCATTAAGGGCCCATTCACACTAAAGTGTTGTGCTAAATGCATGGTATCTGTGCCTTTAGCACACACTATTATACAGCGCTAAGCACCACATGCTAGGTGTGCTGGTGCTTTGTATTGACATTCATTCTGAATGGCAGCCCAATGCATCTCACAGTGGGCAGGCATTGCACGGTACTGCAATAGCGTGCGCATTGTGCAAGAAAATTATGCATGCTCTATTTTTTTACCGCACTGCACCACAACTGTCGCTACTGTAGTACCTTGCAATACAGCGCAAAGCATGCCTGGCGTGTTTGGTGCCATTCGGAATGCATGACAAGGCAAAGCACCAGCACACCTCGCATGTGGTGTATTTAATTGCACAATAGTGTGAGCTAAACGCATGGATGATGTACCTTTAGCGCAGTGCTATCATTTGAATGGGCCCTAAGACAGTGACACCCCTTACTGAGCTAACCACTGACCATCTGCAGTAAGCATTTTGTCATTACATCCTGTTTTTTTTTTTGCTCCATGTAGGTTGTAGCCTAGTTCCTCATTCTTATCCCTTCATGCTGGAGGGCTTGTTCACTCCAAATGCGGACCAGATCTGCATGAGTTTCTGCACAAATTTGTGCAGTGTGTTTTGCCACATTAAATAAATAAATAAATATTTTTTTAGCCTAAAATGGTCTTTCAGTGCGTTATGGAGAGTTTGCATGCGTTTTCGTGCGTTCCAAAGCAGAAAAAATAGGACATGCTGCAGTTTTTCCACATGCTCTGGAACTGAACGCTCTGGTGTGAACTAAAGCCCAAAATACCATTGGAATACATTGGATGCATTTTTGATGCGTCCTGTAACTGCTCTGTACAAAAGTGAATTGATGTCACCAGCACACCAACAATATTGGAGTCCAAAGTGTTCGTTTATTGGACCGTCATGTCACCAAAACAGTTTTGGTGACATGACATTCCAATAAACGAACACTTTGGATTCCAATATTGTTGGTGTGCTGGTGACATCAATTCACTTTTGTACTGTGTGGCGGCAGCATCCGCAGGTCACTGCGAGCACCCCCCATCATCTAATTTGGGGTTTTCCTAGTAAGGAGCGCGACAAGGTATCTTTTTGTTTGTTTCACTGTAACTGCTCTGCATCTGCTCCTTACTTGGTGTGAACAAGCCCGGACCCGCATTTCTTTTATGACCACACAATAATCTCACCTCTCCGGGTTCTTTATTTCTTCTGTGACGAAGTTCAGTGTGTCCCACCCAGAGTAAGAGAAGAGAGCTGAATACAGAGCAAGAGCAATATGGCCAACATCATGGGAGGAACCAGCAAAGGCATCATCAAAGTTCTGTGTCTGACCTGACAATGCAGAGACAGTAAAGGTTATAATGAAATAATGAAACAGTGGGTTGAAGAAAAGATATTTAGATGAACACACAGGATGTAATGAAAACAATGGTAGGAGCAATAGAAATGTCAGGATACAAAAATTGTGAGGATACAGTTAGATGTCCATGGTGCACAAGAGATGAGCAATAATCATTCAATTGTCCACACACCGTTCTCTCTGTTGTAATATACATTTGTGCATGTTTGATCACAACAATCCTCATCATTTTCCCTCATTTCATAATAGGAAACAAAAGGATTTTTAAAAAAAGCAACGATAGAGAACCCTCAACTAGCTCACTCTAGATCAGCATGACAGCCAGACAACTTGTGTTTTCAAAAAGAGGTCAGCTCAGCAATGGCAGCCAATATGTGTCTCTAATAATAAGGTTTCCTTTAAAGCTGAACTCCAGGCACAAGCAATTTAATATAAATGTATCCTTCAATATCCACAATGGATATAAATCACTTTGTGTGCACAAAAAGCCTTTTCAAACCCAGATAGTACCTTAAAATTATGGAGCCGGCCATAATTTCAAACACAGATATTACAGAGAAAGCATGGAGTCGGCTTCCCGGCCAATCAGAAAGCCGGGTGCCATGTAATGTCGCGATGCCCGCCTTCCTGATTGGCCCACTTCTCGACCAATCAGGAAGCCGGGCAACACGTCATTACATGGCGCTCGGCTTCCTGATTGGCCGGAAAGCCGGCTCCATGCCTTCTCGTCTCCTGGTGACAAGGGAGCATGGAGATGGCTTCTCTGCTAATCGGGAAGTCAGGTGGTGAGTCTTTACACGCCGCTCGGCTTCCCAGCTAATCAGGAAGCCAGGTGGTGAGTCATTACACGCCACCTGGCTTCCTTAATGGAACTTCCGTTATCGTAATTCGGTATCGACGAGTACCGGAAAAAAAATCGGTACTCGTACTAGATACGGAAAAACCGGTATCGGTGCATCCCTACTCAAAACGTTAGAGTTGGCCCCAGAACAAGAGGTAAGAGGAAACATTCCAATGAGGTCACCAGTTCCACAGACAACTGTCTAAGAGGGGAATTCTCCTCACTTTGGGAGGTTTCCTCTAACTTCCTGTTGTGTCTCTGGGTAGGAAGTGAGTTTCCCCAATGGTACACTGACAGCAAAAATTAAAATCTTCCGTACAAAAAAAGTTTTGGCTATACACATAAATTAAAAAATAGGCTTACCAATTTTTTTAAACACCAATGTACCCTAGAATGTACCATTGTAATTGGTACCCCCTATGTGACCATCTTTGCAGTTACTCATTGATGCTCTCTATCCTCATTCATTACACTTAACACATTAAATAACACTTCTGACCCTTCTTTTTAATGATGTGTGTTGTTCCTGCAATAGCTATTCAAAATGTATGGCACCACAGCACATGACGGTTGGTGCATTACTGTGTGTTGCAGTAACACGTGTTTTCCTGCATGTTGCTGCAATGTAGAAATGAAAACGGGCCCTTAGTGTTTTACAACTATACATGGCTTGTAGTTTGTACACATTTTAACTTGTTCCTCATGTCTCATTTCCTCTTTAGCTTTATTTACTAAGCTGTGGTAGGCATGGCTCTCCTATTTTTTTTTTATTGTTTGTTACTTCATATTACTTGTAGTGGGGCTACCACCACACTGCAAGGGTTAACTTCTCAGTTTGGTCTAGGGTCTACAATAAAAAAGATATATATTTACCTGATCCTCAGTCCTGCTCCTGCCTGGCTGCTAGACTGGTCCCATATCCTATTCTCCCCCAGGCCCCGGTGGTTTTAAGTACCAGTGACGTCATCAGGTGTAATACATGTCCACTTACATGAGGACGCCAAGGGACATACCACTGCCGGAGCGGAGGGGAAAGAGAGTGGTGAGCGCTGACTGCCAGGGTGTATCGGGTGAATATATTACCACTGCAAGGGTTCATAAAATGCCCGGAGTTCTTTAATATTTAATTTTTTTGATTGTTCACTTTGTAAAGTGTTGGGTCATATAATGGAGTCATATAGATAAGGATAGAAAACATAGATAGATTTGTTTATGCAAAGCTGCAGGGGCGGGGAATGCCCAAGCCTGCAGCTGATTGGTTCGGTGGCCTATGGCACTCGGATCAGGTTTGGTCTGAACCGGAGCTCATTCCTAATCTTGAATAGCAAACCTAAGTATTATGTAGAACCTGAATTTTGTAAGAATGGTATTCCTCCTTCACATTACATATTTGCTTTCTGCAATAGCTCTCTCTCCCTCTGTTACCTCCAGTACCTCACCTTGAGCAAGCTTTACAATTCCTGCGATGATGACTGCAATCAGAGCCAAGACCTTGGCATAAGTGAACACATCTTGGACACGGGTGCCCCATTTCACATAGGCACAGTTCACAAAGGTGAGAAGTCCTACAAGGCACAAATAGACAAGAGAACAATTTATAGTATACAGGAATGCAGCAGAGCAGATAACCAACCCTCTGACACAGTGCAGGATGAGGTATAAAATGCACTTTATCATATTCACATGTTTAATATTATATTATCGTTCCTGCACCGAAATGATACCATCTAAAATCTCCTAATAATGTTGTAATTCTACCATCCTATTTATTATTAGCAAATAAAAAAATGACTTGAAGTGTATGTAAATACAATTTTATAGTAGCTTTTGATACAAGATTAAAGTTCCATGTCAGTTTTTTTAGCTGTCTGTGTCCAATTAGGGAGATTTCCCTTTGCATCCTGTGGAGATTCACTTAGAGAGGTGTCACTGGAACAGGTGTCCCCATTGGAAGTTTCTTCCCTACTCCAGTGACAGCTGTAAAATTTTGAATTTCCCATTACTTTTTGACCAGTTGGCAATGGTAACTAGGACAAATAGAAAGCATGAATCAATCAAACAGGGACACAGGCAACAATATACACCTGTATGAACACAAAAAAGCGCCAAAAAGGACTACTCCGCCAGTATGGACCAATATAAGACCCAACAATATAAACCTGACGGATTGTAAAATGCAAGGTCCGTCTGTAATGTCCCGGCCCCCTCTGTATATTTAAAGAAAAAGGTTAGATTTATACTTACCTTAAGATTGCCATACACCAATACACAGCTTGAATTGTATCTGATTCCTGCAGAATCTGTCCAACTCCCAACCTTGGCACCACCTACCATAGCAAACTTTATTTAAAAATTGAAGAAGCTGGGTGGAAAATTGTTGGCAGAACCAGGGGCGTAACTAGAAATCACAGGGCCCCATAGCAAAATTTTGTATGGGGCCCCGTGATTTCTAGTTATGCCCTTGCAGAGCCCACCTGAGAACTGATCCGCTGTCCGCCTCCATGGTCGCTGTCAGGCCCTGTCTCCTCCATCGCCGGGCCCCGCCTCCTCTTCCGTCGCCAGGCCCCGCCTCCTCTTCCATCATCGGCCTGCCTCCTCCTCTGCTTCTGACGCCGGGCCCAGCCTTCCTTCTCCACAGCTGCTGGCTGCTGGCGTCACACCCGCCAGTGACGAGGAACGTGACAGCGGAGGAATGGGACAAGAAGAACAGGCAAACAAAAGCAACTATAAGTCTACTAGTGGAAGACGTCCAGCTTATCCACATAAGAAAAGAAAATAGAGCTAAAGGTATGTGGACTGCATTACAGAAACTGCATGAGTGTTCAAACCCAAACAGTAAACTATATCTGCCACGCAAGCTATATAAGATGAGGCTAGAAAAGAGGCCAGGAAATGGGTGAATATGTGAATGCCATGCTGGAAATCGTGGAACAGCTGCGCGCAATTGGAGAGGAAATGAAAGATAACCGCATGGTGGCATTACTGCTACGCAGCCTTCCGGAGTCATATAATGCTCTTATTAAGGCTCTAGAAACCAGACCTGAGCAGGAACTAACACTAGAATATGCCAAAGGAAAATGAATCGATGAATATTACAGTGTTTTCGCTTTAAAAAGACTGGACATCTGAAAAAGGACTGTTCAAACTGGAAAGCCGAGCAGAGAAAGCGAGAGGCGAGAGGCATCTACAAGAGAAAGAGCTAAGGCAGCTACAAAGGCAACCGCAGGCACATCATGGAGCGCTACCTTTAAAGTGAGTCAGAACAGTATACCATGTGGATGGTATATTCACTCAGGCACAACAGGTCACATGACCAGTGATGAGACCTTCTTCACAGAACTTGATTTCAGTGCAAAGGACAAAGTTTTCATAGAAAACGGAAAAAGTATTACTGCAGAAGGTAAAGGACAAGAATTCTTGAACTGCATCACACCGCGTGAATAATGTACTGTATGTTCCAGACCTAGAAGGAAGCTTTCTATCCTGGAAAACCCTTGCTAATAACGGTGTCACAGTTTAATTCCGAGGTGATGAATGCACAATCCAAAACAATAAGAAACTCCTCCCAAAAGGAAAATTGGATGAACACCTGTACAGACTCATCACCGCAGATGAGCAAGTCATGTCAGCCACTCATAATCCACACAACAAATGTATCTACCTACGGCACAGGCGACTAGGGCACTGAAACGCAGAAGCCATAAAAGACATTATAAAGAGAGGCTTATCAGAAGATATAACCAACAGTCTTCAGTTGTTCCCAGTATCCAGTCGTCTGTCATCCCCTCTGGTGTCATCAGCATGTGCATCAGCTACAGGCACTCGTGCCCCTCTCTGTCTGTACACCTTAGGCCCCGTTCACATTGAGCGATTTATTGCGCGGTAATTCCCGCGATATCGCGGCAATTTACCGCGCGATATCGCTATCCAATGCTTCTCAATGGGGCAAAGGGTCCTGCTGTCGCGGGTCGTGGGTCGTGGGTCGCTACAGCAGGACCCTTTTTGTAGCGGATTTAGCCGCGATTCAAGCTTGCTCAATGCAAGCATTTGCGCGATATCGCGCGACAAATCGCGCTATATCGTGCAAAATGCAAATCGCGCAACAAACGCGCAATTTGCGAACCGCTCAATGTGAACGGGGTCTTATATTGCACCTTTAGGGGTGCTCATACGAGACCTGCAAGGAGAGGCCTACCTTGTCACTTCAGGCTCATACCAATGTATGTGATAGTGCAACAGGCAGAAGACAAAAGGGGGGAATTTATCAAAACTGGAGGAAACAGAATCTGGAGCAATTGCCCATGGCAACCAATCGGCTCCTTTCTTCAGTTTGTTTAGTTAAGGTTAGGAAATGAAAGAGAGATGCTGATTGGCTGACATGCACAGATGCTCCAGATTCTGTCTGCACCAGTTTTGATAAATTCACCAGAGTGTTCCTTTTGTTTAGTCAACAGGGCTAAACCAGACAAGTCTAAACATGTATGGCTAGCACTACCGCCATCTTCCACATCACTGGGTTTGATGTCACCATCTTTCTGGAAAGATTCCAGGCCAAATCTCATGAGAAGATACTCAAGAGCATCTTTTGCAAAATTTGCACTGCTCTGTATTTTCAGAGTCTCGACAGTGTGTAATGCCATGCTTACTTAGACGCCGCAGGTGGAAGACGAGAATAGGCTAAGTGTAGGATCGAACTTTTTCTTTACAGTTTGCACATACTTAGAGATAGTGACATTAATAGGGGGAAGGGGGCAAGAAAACCTTTGCACTTTACTGCAAGGTAAAGGTTAGGTTTTACCTAATCAATCCCAAAAACAAAATGCTGTCTTTACTGTAATAATAAAAGGCCAATAAAGCAATAATACAAGTTAATGTTTTGTGAAACATAATACAGAAATGTATATAAGACAGCTATGTTGTCCTAGATTGTTCACTTCTCCTGAGTTCTCCAAACTCTTCACCCTTTTGTGAATAACCCTGTTAGACTTCTTTAGAAAAGGCTTATTATGGAGCAGATAGCAGTGGAGCAGTAAGACACCCCAGGTATATGGTAAAATTAGTAACTGACTAAAAAAAATACAACCCTGCTGTTCCTTCATTCCCCCAAGAATGATCCCTGGATGCAGGGGCATCCCGAGGCTGGGTGACACCCGGAGCAGAGACCGGGTGACACTCCGCTGTGACGTCATTGTGCATGCGCGTGATGTTGCCGCGCGCGTGTGCGATGACGTCCTCCCGCATGCGCAGTCATCTTATTGACGCTTGCCAGTGGCCATCTTGGTAATAGGCGCCTGCAGAGACAGGAGGGGATGTTCACCCTGGCGGGATGAGGTATGCCGCCGGGTCCCCTCCTCTCTCCTTAGAATTCGATATATCAGATCGCACTCCTGGCCGGAAAATACCCAATAAAACAGGGAGGGTGCAGCAGCGACAGCAGATGCCTCCGCAAATCTTTTAGAACCAGAAAATAGTCACTCGCATTTCAAAGCGAAATTCAGTCAATCACTTTATTTAATATAGTGATAACATCTCTAAGTTCTCTCCTGACACTGTCAGGCTCTCTGTCCATGGCCGAGTGCCCGACTTTTCATAGCGGGTGACACCAAAATGACTGTCAGTCATTTTGGTGTCACCCCTCCAATGGTGGCACCCAGATGCGGGCCGCACCCCCCTTGTGACTCCACTGCCTGGATGTGATGTTTTCTACAAACAGACATGACAAATGTTACCAGATCTAACTGCAGTTTTGTGGATTCTACATCCACAGATTCATTATTAGGCCTATAAGCAGCCACCTACTGCAGTTGTCTGCAGGTAAACATCTCTTCAAGGGTAAGTATTATTTTAATAAATATTGTTTAGGAAAAGCTATACCACACCTCCCAACTGTTGCTCGTCTGGAGGAACTATGACTCTTTTGGAACCAAATCCCTCTGTCCCTATTTTCCTCTCAGTCGTCCCTCTTTTTGGTCTGACGTACATATATCTATGAAAATGTACTATTTAACCACCAAAAGTGTTATTATGCACTACAATCTTCATCCTATCTTCTAATTATCTAATTTGCTATTATACAAAAGCCAGTGTAAAGGAAAAGTAATGGTAGTAGACAACAATTTTGGGTTGAGCCAATCATTTTTGGCATACAAATTCTTAATGGTTTGCAAAGCTGGGGGCATGGCAGGGGTGTATACATTGTGCTAAAGGATGTCCCTCTTCCTCATCTAAGAAGGTTAGGAGGTATGCTATAAACACACATCTTGCAAGCTATTTGTAACCACCTCTGTGACCAACATCTACTTATTTACTACCAGAAGGACAATGTGAGTAGTCAGTGCCCATCATTTCATTGCTATGGTTTTTCGATATGCAGATAGCACTATAAAAATTAGGTTGATCTAACCTAATATAACAAAAACTAAAACTCTTCTACGCTTCTAAAATCCAAACTTCCACTGTAATGAGTATAAATGTGTCTTTATTGTTAGTTAGCCAGCTTTCATGGACATTAGCTGAGTCTGACTAAGACCTTTAGTCCTGCTCTGTGTAAAAACTGTAAAGCTGCTCCTGCCTAAATTTCTCTTTTTGTGCACGGTGATTTGGCATTGAGGGCATGTATTGTACGCACTGGTCATGGGACTGTGCTGCTGCTGTCAGCAGAAGATCCTTTAGAACTTCCTTGTCCACAACTTTCCACCCACATCCTGTCCGTAACAGTCCGGGGCACAGAGAATTTCATAAGACAATAATAAGGGAAGAACATGAGACAGACAGGAAGACAGAACTAAGAAAATGAAACAGAACAGGAATAGCCATACAAGTGAAACACTAGGAGAGCAATAAAGAAGAAGACCATTTCCTAGCATAAAGTGCATAGTACAACAATGGTGTGCACATAGAGTTTCACTTCTGTGTACATCACTCACATGATCAGACACATGACCTGCGGTGGACATGACGCACTCTGCCAATCTGACAAATGGTCTAAATCAGAGAGATTTGGATGTACTCAAAGTGTTTTGTAAGCCCTGTGCTATGGCAATAAGATTGCATGTAGAAAGGTCTAGCTTGCTCTATAAAGTTACTGGATTTAAACCTGGATGAAAGTTTTTACATACACTATAAATGATGCTTGACATTTCACATTATCATTTCCATATATAAATGAAATGCAGCACACATTAAAAGCAGATTAGTGATCTATCAGTGAGTATTGCTTCCTGCATCTGTGTAGGGTGTAGTTTTTGAACGCATTTAAGTGAGATACTGGTCTGTATTTGTTGCCTCTATGAATAAGCCTACGGGTGAAACATGTGAGAGGTTGTAGCTGGTTGGGGGTATGCAGTGCTGGTATTTGTTGCTTTATACACTTTTATTCACTGTTATACTGGATTTGCTGTGAATTTCAATAAAGTCTAAAGTATTGGAATTCTCTGGATAGTGTGGTCTGTTCGTATACTACTATACATTAAAAGTAGATTATGCCTAAATGGTCATTATTTTGTTGTATTAAATGGTCTTAATATCTTGCATATGTTTAAGTAAGTGTAGAATTGTTCTGGTGCAATCAATTTTCTGTAAAAAGTCATATCCTCAAAAACCTGTACCCTAAAAACCCTGTAGTTTTTAGTAGATGCTGCTGGGTGTAAGTTTCCCAATGGGAAGTTTGGCAACAAGTTTTTAGGTGCTCCCAACATACCCATTATTAGGCAATCCTATCTCTTTACCTGGATTTTTCATTTCTTTACCTCCATATAAATGAATTATCACTGTCAATTAGACCAACACATAAAAGTGAACCTGTGGGTATAGGAATGTGGAAGATTTCACTGCCTAGTTGTTTGTAAAAGTGCTAGGGCTAGGGGTATCATGATAATTCTGACTGTGCTGTCTAGTGCAGGGGTAGGCAAACCTGGCACTCCAACTGTGGTGAAACTGCAAGTCCCATCATGGCAGTCATGTCTGTGGCTGCCAGAGTCTTGAAATGCCTCATGGGAAATGTAGTTTCACCACAGCTGGAGTGTTGAGGTTGTCTACCCCAATCCAGTGGGTCACATATCTAGAACAAGCAGTGAAATCTGACATATCTGACTGCCCATCCTGCATATGTGTTTCAAGTAACAGACTCACTAGGTAGTGAAGCCAACATATAGATGCAACTCCTGAGCTTGCATCTTGAAATGCAATGGCGGCTGCTATATTTCTGTCCTCACAGGTTCCCAGGCTCTCACATTCTAACATTTGTAATTATTTAGTTACTGAATAGCTCTGATCTATTGTTGGTTTTGTATCACATTTAATTTCACTTTGGAAGAGCAATACAGATTCAGTACTTCCATATATATATAAAAAAAAATTAGATGCGTAAGATTGATGTAAAAAAACTTGTTACAGAATTAAGAAAGTTCAATGTGACAAATGAAAGGTATATTCTGTACGCCAGAAACATTTTCTTATTTAAAGAGGACTGCAAACTAAAAACTTTGAGCTTTTCTTAAGGGAAAGGATGAGGACAGCCTGTTCTGTAAGATGCCATCTTTAGTCAAATTAGGATTTCTGCTTACCCCAATCTAAATGATCAAGTTTTGTTTACCTGTTTACCAAGCTTACCTATGCAGGCCGCTGCAAGGAGCCTATTAGCAGAGTAAGGCGATTCACAAGACGGGAAGATGGGCTGCAACATGTAGTTGGAAAAGGTGATGGCAATAACAGCTTGACTAGTAGGCTCAATAATGAGGAGGGATGTCCACAGTCTGATGAAGGCTATGAAGCCACCAAAGGCCTCCAGGATATAGGCATAGCTTGCTCCTGATTTGGTAATGGTTGTACCTAGTTCAGCATAACATAAAGCACCGAATATTGAAAAAACTCCACCAATTGCCCAGATGACCAACGAAAGGCCATAGGAAGCACTATAGATAAGGACACCCTTGGGTGAGACAAAGATCCCAGAACCGATCATGTTGCCTACAATCAGGCAAACCCCATTCAGCAGTGAAATTTCCTTCTTGAGTTTCATGGATTCCTGAGAGGTAGTGTCCACTGCAGGTTCATGTTTGCCATTGGGATCTGGCTCCTCTGTGGAGGCAGGTATGTATTCACTGGCGATACCCATGGTGGAATGATAAAGTCAGCAGCACAGCAGCATGTCCAACTAGGAGAAAGCGAGAGGTCACAGGGTAAGTGAAGCAGCCATGCACATTAAATTGTAACAGGAGAGGAATTTTACCTCTTCAGTGCTGGCTACACATAATTAACTCTAAACACACAGTGGATGGTACAGAAATATCCAGGTATACTGAGCTCTATTTACAGCCAATCCACAAGAAAAATGAAACATATCTGTTTAAAAGGCCCGCTAAAATAAATGACATGCTGGTTTATGTAAAAGAATTCGAATGGCATTCATTGATAAATGTAACATTGTCCAGCTTATGTATAGTGGTAAGCTTACATAAATTTTTCTGAAACATATTAGTAGCTCATTCACATGAAGTAACTCTTTGTTTTAAAGTAGATTTTAACAGTCCTAAACCAGGTCATAGAGGTGAAATTGCCTTTGCCTGATGTGATACTGTCGGGTGACGATCTCATGTCTATAGGCACTGGCAGTCAGCACCATCTATTGGGAGAGATTAGGATCTGGTGTGTCTGAACCCTTTTCTGATTGATACTGTCTACCCCCAGAACAGCCACCCACCCCACCAAGTCCTACTGGTGTAAGGCTCCATTCATACATAAACATAAAAAACAATGCATTGCAATGTGCATGCTTCAGACTTTTGCGGTGGCCACATGGTAGGAGACCACGTGTCCCGCAAAATAGTACAAGCACGATTTTATGGCAGATTCCGCACGTCCCGGCTACAGTAATAGCCGCAGAGGTGCGGAATCCGCGCCTATGTTAAAGTTTGCGCGGTTGTGTGAATGGAGCCTTAAACATTTTCTTCTTCTCCTGCTCCATTCACAAAAACATGTACAGGTGATTGTGCACATTATTTATACAATGGAGTGAACCATTGCCATTTTTCGTAAATGATAGCGATAAAAAATAGATACCACTGCCCAAGTGATTTTCTGTTCTCTGCTTGGCACTCATGTGTGGTACTGCCATGAAATTGAATGACCTGAATTGGCACTGAGCATCTGCTCATCATCAAAGAAGGAGACCTGGTGGCATCATCTCATCCATTGCTGCCACTGGCAATCTCCTCTCAAGAGCTTCAGGCTGGAACTCCCCATTAGCACAATCTGGATATGCAGGAAAACAATCGCTGTGTCATATCAGGCTATATGCTTATTTTAGACAGGTTTTCCTTGTTAGGTTTGTTGTTCTAGACATTCTCTTTTGTGTGTGAGATGTACAGTGTTTATGGGGTTATTATCAATCTACACACATGTATTCCTCACATTGCCCCACTGTAATTATTATCATAAATATTTTAATTGTAAATAAATGTGTTTATACAGTATTCGCCTTCTTACGTCAAAGTTTAAATAACTAATCCAATCAGAAATCATTTACATAGTTCTTTGTATGCACAGTTACTAGATACAGAAACACAACCAGTGCCAGAGAAACCATGACTTAGTTTAAAGAATGAAAGTGGAAGTTGACCCTAGAATTACTAGGGCATATTACATCAAACAGCCAAATAACACATGCACCTTGATAAATGCATAGCACCATGTTGGCCTCTGTCCATGCTCTGGTTCTCCAAGACTAAGCATTGAAAATTGACAGCTATTACCAGTGACACCATACAATCAATGTTGTCGCAAAGGCCCCCCCCCCCCCCAAAACTATTTTAGGGCTTGCGATGATCGCAAGTACGATCTGCCTGTCCAAGATGGGCAGATCGTACGTTTTTTTAATTACTTTACAACCATCGCAAGACTAAGGTCTTGCGATGGTTGTAAAGTGTATGGCCACCCTATGACCTGCAGGACTCTTGCTGTAGACTTGCCAAGCAAATTTGCTACATATTCAAAAAGTGTCAACTAGAACTTGTGCTGCGAGTGTTCTGTAAGTCAAACAACTTACCAGGAATGTGTGCAGCAAGTTAGAAAGAATTACAATTTTACCCTGCCACAAGTTTGTGGCAAGTTATCCTTGCTATCTGGGTGATTCTGTGCCCTGATTCTGTCAAAAGCTGCCCACACACCTTACAACCATCGCACGACTTTCAATGTGCGATGGTTGTAAGGTAATTAAAATCTCGTACATCCTGCCCATCTTGGACAGGCAAATCGTACTTGCGATCATCGCAAGCCCTCCCCGCCGAGGGGAGGGCTTGCGATGATTCAAGTACTGAGCGGGCAGTGTGCGCTTGCGCACACCGGCCCGTTCGGCATTTGTCTTCCGTGCACGCCACTAACCCGCCGAAAATCGTACGATTCTCGGCGGGTTTTCGAGCGTGCTCGGAAGACAAAAGTTTCTACTGTACGGTCGCACGCCTTCCATACACCTGCCGATTATCGTATGATCGCGGTATCTCCCGCGATTATCGTACGATAATCGGCAGGTGTATGGGCACCTAAGGACATAAATAGCACAAGGGGGTCTGAGCAGCACCATGAGTTGTATTGTGTCATTGGTAGATGGCTGGTAATTCCAATGCTAATAGCTGGACAACTGAAGTGTGGCCAGAAGTCAAACATGGTGCTATGTATTTATCACATGTGTTATATAGCTGTTTAATGTTCATAGAGTATTTCTAGGTTGAATATCCACAATGTTCTGAGTTAGTAAAGAGGAGGCGGCTTCAATGTCAAATTAGGACATATGCTGCAGTATGCTTTCATGTTGACACAGTGCTGAAAATCAACTGTATTCATTTGTTTACATTAGTCATCAGGAAACGCACAGTGAAAACACACTGAAAACTCCCTTTTTTAGCTGCTGAGACTCGACACCTGTACTGGGAGATATAAGGAGAATACCATAAAAATGCTACTTTCCAGGCTGTCATGCCAACCTTTTTTCCACTAACCCAGAAAAGTTGTAGACAAAGTCAAGTCAGAGGAAAGCCAGAACCGAAAAATTGTTCCAGCTCAGTGGCTCAGAAGGTATGAAAACCAATGAATCGGCACAACAGCTGGGCAATCAGGATTTTCAGAATGCTAAAATGCTAAAAGGCTGAATTCATAGGCTGGGCACACACCTTACAACCATCGCAAGACTTACGTCTTGCGATGGTTGTAAGGTACTTAAAAAAACGTACGATCTGCCTATGTTGCATAGGCAGATCGTACTTGCGATGATCGCAAGCCACGCCCCCTGAGGGGCGGGCTTCCGATGACCGCAATGCCGAACGGGCAGTGTGCGCTTGCGCACACCGGCCCGTGCGGCTGTTATCGTACAGACATGCCACAAACCCGCCGAACATCGTACGATGCTCGGCGGGTTTTCAAACATGTCCGTAAGTTTAAAGTCGTGCGACCTTACAGTAGTAGAGCAGAAAAGAAATAGACACCGGCACTCCAATAATAAATCGATTACGTCTATTTATTGACGTACATCAAAAGCAAAATAACACACTTAGCGCTAAGTGTGTTATTTTGCTTTTGATGTACGTCAATAAATAGACGTAATCGATTTATTATTGGAGTGCCGGTGTCTATTTCTTTTCTGCATTACTTTGACGGTGGCCATCCGTCGACTACTGAGCACCCAGGATACTTTGTTGGACGTGCGGTCAGGAGTGCAATGGGTACATGGACTGTAATCTTACAGTAGTAGAGGTCGCACGGCTTCCACACACCTTACGATCATCGTACGATAATCGTAAGGTGTGTGGGGACCCATAGACTGCATTCACACACTATAACAGGGTGTGGCCGTGCATTGCCACATGTGTGTTAGCATTCATTGTGTTAAGGTAGCCAATATTCAATGGGCTGCCAACACACCAAAAAACACAATGGCTTGGCCAAAACAGTTTACCATAACACCATGCCTAAAATATCTAAAGCAGAACTCCAGCCAAAAACAACAAGAATAGTAAGCCGGCAAAAATTTTTGGCTTTTTCGTTCTTTCGGGTCTGAACGCTGTTTCTTTCGTTATTCGATTACGGATCTTTCGGGATTTAATTTTAGTTTCAGATGGGGTTTTTTGATTCGCCAGAAAACAGTCACGTGCCCGATTTATAGTTTCATTTTGAACGAAATTCAGATGATCCGAAATTTCATTATAAGAACATTCAGATTCGTTTGCTTCAGCCTCATTGGAATTCGGACATTCGGATGCATCTGAACTAAACAAAATTTACATGTCTAATGGATAGCCAATTAAAAGATAAAGTGAGAAATCCAGTTTTTAGTGCAATATTCAATTTGGAAATTTTCTCTCACAGTCCTCTTTTCTGCTGCTAGATGTCCTCAGTCTGATGGCCATCATCATCCAAATAAATTGTCATGAGCCCAGGTCATCATGGACTCGAACCCAGCCTCTGATTGGACAGTGAAACGAGAAGCAGCGCAGTGGCAAGCTCATCTCTGTGCTTTCTCCTCTTATCAGCATGCTTCTTCTCAGCATATGAGCAGATTGACTCCTTGTAATACTTCTTCATCTCAAACTCCAGCCCTGCTGTACAAGGCCTGCAACAGGCTGATACTAGGTAAAGTTCAGGTACTTACACTGTTTGCATTGAAATAGTACTTTAAATTATTATGAGTGTTTATATAGCAGAGCCAATTTACACAGTGCCTTACATACACATTAGTTCTTGCCCTTAAAGGAGACCTATGAGGTGAGTGATTTTCACTCAACCTCATAGTTCGAGCCGACGTGTGACAATTAAACTGTCACACGTCGGCTCATTAGATCGGGAAGTGAGCGAACACATACCGTTGCTCGCTCACTTCTCGATCATGTCCCTGCAGAGAGCCGTGACTCTCACTCACGGCTCCCTGCAGGGATTCCCCCCGATCCCCTGTCCGATCCTCCAGCACTGACTGGCAAAACGGACAGGGGGATGGGGTGGGTACAGCTGGCTCTGCCTCTTTATAGCCAGAGCCAGCTGTCACTCACGCAGCTGGGTGTCACTCACGCAGCTGGGTGGATCTCAACAGTAATGTCGGGATCCATCCTGGCTGTGGCTGGCTCAGTATAGCGCGAGCTGTAGCTCGCGCTATACTGAGCTTTGGGTCACGGGAG